TTAAGAATAAAAAGGTCTTTCCAATATTTAAACATTTCTACAGGACCTTTTAACACACAAAGTTGTCTCAGTTCTTCAAAAGTAACGGAGAACAAATGAGCAAAATTATTGAGGGAGCAAGAAACAATGCCATTTAAAGAAAACTGATCTTTTAGTAATTCTGAATGAATTGTTTTCCTGGTTGCAGGTCAGATTGTTGGAAGTGGGCAGCAAGCCACCTCCTGGCATTGACCACATTACATCCTGCTCCAATTCATAGATTCAACAACATCTCCATTCTCCCTTCAGAATTAGGAAGTTGGATCAATACATATATAAAATGAACTGATTCCTGGCATCTGACCGAAAGAGTCAGTAAGGGAAGAACCACAGTGTTACTTTTTCAATGCTGGTTGCAATGAGACAAGCTAAAATCAGGAAGCAATCATCTGGCAATGACATGGGTTCTATTTTTAAATATATAGATTGCAGAGGGGGAAAAAAGACAAGACAGAACTTCAGGAGATCCACAAGATTATAGCAAACAAAACACGTAAAGTGTGGCACCTTGACTTTTAATATACAACAGAACACAATGGTGGTGAAATTTACAGTCAGGTCAATCAGTAATTGATACACTCCTCCTAAGTTTATTTTAACAAGTGTCTTATGTGTAGTGCTCAAAGAGGCCATCTAGACACGAGAGTGGGAGGTTGTAATATAAATTACAATCATTGAGGGGCTTCTGAAGTAAGGAACAAGTGACACGGCAACTTAAAGTATCCAGATTTTACTCAAGGGACTAGGATAGATACACATGGACTGCAGTGCTTCAAGGTGGTGGCTCATCATCTTTTCAAGGGCAATTAGGAATGGTTAATAATGGCCATCGTTCATTTCTCACGAACAAACAAATTAGAGCAATATCACATCCACTCCTCACTTTCCTTTTTAGGCACTCAGATAGTAGGAGGAAGATCAGAATTCTTAAAAAGTCAGCTAAATAGTATTACATACATAACACTGAGCTTGATTCAAATGTTAACTGGTCAACACCAGCATCCCCTATGACAATGGCATTGCTGCAACAGCCTCAGTACTCAATACCAACAACTGCCAATTTCCAGATGCCATCCTACAACTCATCAGCTTCATCCTCAACCACAACGTCTTCACCTTCGACAACTAGCTCTTCATCCAGACCCATGCAACAGCCATGGGGGCCAGATATCCCCCAAAATATGCCAATATTTTCACGCACAGGTTTGAACAAGACTTTTGCTGCACAGACCAACGTTATACACCAGATAGATAGACAACATTTTCTTCCTTTGGAATCAATGGCGAGGAATCACTGAGACAACTACATAGCAATATCAATAAGTTTCATCCCACCATCAGACTCACCATGGACTACTCTTTAGAATCCGTCTCATTATTGGACATGCATGTCCATCATGGATGGACACCTCTAACTCATTCTATCGCAAGCCAACAGATAACCTCATGATGCTGCACTTCTCTAGCTTCCACCTGAAACATTAAAACAGCCATTCCCTATGGACATGCCCTAGACGTACAAAGAATCTGTTCGGATGAGGAGGAATGAGAGACACCTGAAGGTGTTGACGGATGCCCTCATAGGAACAGGATTTGATGCTCAACTCATCAATCGCCAGTTCCAATGTGCCACAGCGAGAAACCGTAATGACCTCCTCAGAAGACAGACATGGGATATGTCCGACAGGGTGCCCTTCGTCATCCAGTACTTCCCAGTAGCGGAGAAACTACCTCATGATCTTTGCAGCCTTCAACACATCAATGATGATGTGCACCTTGCCAAGTTACTCCCCACGCCTCCACTTCTCACCTTCAAACAACCGCCAAACCTTAAACAGGCCATTGTTCGTCGCAAACTACCCAGCCTTCAGGACAGCATTGACCACAACACCACACAACCCTGTCATGGTAACCTCTGCAAGACATGTCAGATCTTCAACATGGACACTATCACACATGGGAATACCACCCACCACGTGCACGGCAGATACTCATGTGACTCAGCCAACGTTGTCTATATCATACGCTGCAGGCAAGAACGCCCCGAGGCACGGTACATCGACGAAACCATGCAGACGCTACAACAACGGATGAATGGACACCACGCAACAATCGTCAGACAGGAATGTTCCCTCCCAGTGGGGGAACACTTCAGCAGTCAAGAACATTCAGCCTCGGATCTTCAGGTAAACGTCCTCCAAGGCGGACTTTGGGATACACAATGCGGAGTCACCGAGCAGAGGCTGTTAGCCAAGTTCGGTCACCATGAGGATGGCTTCAACCGGGATCTTGGGTTCATGTCACATTACGGTGACCCCTGCACACGCTTTCTCCCGCACACCGCACACTCACCCCACCTCCCAATGGGGTGCATTTGTATTTTCAGACATTTTATTTTGTTCAAAAAGCACACAACTGATACAGTAAATATGGCATTTTGTAAATTCCTTCTTTAGAAGGAAGACCAGTCTGACTCTAAGAGAACAGATTCTAAACAAGGTCTCATACCTAATATGCATTGTCTGACCTAAAATGTCACCATCTCTACACTGATAAAACGTTCAGTTCTCTCAGGACCATGATTTGAAAGAAATGTGGGTATTTACATAGATCAATTAAAGCCTTCTAACTGATTAAAGATTTAACAGCATCTTAGGTTTGTTTAGCACATCCTCAATAGTGTGGACCTTTGATCTTTTACTTGTAAATTCTGTTTCTGATACTCTCTCTCACTAACACCTGAAGGAGGACTGAGGCTTTGAAAGCTTGTGCTTTCAAACAGAGCTGTGTTGGACTATAACCTGGTGTCATGTGATTTGACCTTGTGCTCCCTAGCCCAACACCGGCACCTCCACATCATGATTCCATCTATAATATTTTATGTTTCTAAAGACTTTGAAATTTGTTTTCCCTTTATCTTTTGCACATTAACTAACTTTCAGATTGAAATTATTGCATTTGACACATCACAGACTGCCTTGAATCAAGCAATAAATATTTGAAGAATGCAAGAATGTTAGGATGCATGCAAAATAAATCTGCAATAGTAACATTAATCACCTCTACCTGAACTAGACTGCAGTTAATACCTCTTGAAACGTGGAAAAAAGCAATAAATTCAATTAGTCAATAAACAGAAGCTATCTGCTCCACAGCTGGGAAACATATTGTTGATTATCTGAAGTGCAACCTGCAGTATTTCTGTGACCCAAGAAACAAATACAATAACTGCTAGCTTTTCATTTCAAAAGGAACTGGCAGCATTCAGTTAATTGAGAATTGGGTAAATTTTTGTACTTTATTGGACATCAAGAGATAAGGGTAGCACAGAAAAAGAATAAGACAAACAAGCACCAAATAAATGAATGATGAAGTGGCCACAAGGCCTATTCCTGCCTCTATTTTTGCTGTCATGTGAAATTGCCAGTAAATCAGCATCACAACTGTCAGGGTTCACGGCACAGACTTAATCCAACTCTGAAGCTTGTAGATTTTATTAGAACATCTGAATTGCGCGCAAACCTCTCAATGATAAACATGATTAAATGCAATCCAGCATCTAAATGCACCAACAGACATCCAAGTAATTACTACAAAGTCATCCTGTAATTCTCACTCACTGGTGATCTCAAAACCGGTGTTGTTACAGAAACAACCAATGCACCAGATCCTATGATACCTTAGGGGTTTGACTTCATGCAAAACACTTATTTAGCATAACAATGGTAGGGACTGAAAAAAAACAATGTGCTGTAAATACTCAGATTGGGCAGCATCTGTGGAACAAAACAACAGTAAATAGAAATATAGATATAAATAAGTCTGCAAACTTAACAGCTAGCAGAAGTGGTTGAGGTTGGTATGTTAACATTTAAAAGGCATTTGGACGAATACATGGTTAAGAAAGGTTTAGAAGGATATGGGCCAAGTGCCGGGAAATGGGGTTAGAACGGATGGACATTTTGGTCAGCATGGACCAGTTGGCACCAAAGGGCCTGTCTCCGTGCTGTAGGACTGACTACACTTGTGGGAAGTGCACCCAGCTGCAGCTCCTGGGAGACTGTTGGGAGCTGGAGCTGAAGCTCGATGCACTCAGGATCATCCGAGATGCTGAGCGTATCATAAATAGAGCTTTCGTGAGGTGGTCACACCTAACATGCAGGCAGAAAGTAGCTGGGTGACCACCAGGAAAGGCAAAGTGAGTAGGCATTTGGACGAATACATGGATTGGAAAGGTTTGGAAGGATATGGGCCAAGTGCAGGGAAATGGGCTTAGCGTGGATGGAGATTTTGGTCAGCATGGACCAGTTTGGGCCGAAGAGCCTGTCTCCGTGCTGTAAAACTGACTCGATGACAGCTCTGAGCAAAACTCAGAATTGAGATGGCGACTATTACCTTTCCACTGATAATTCCTCGCCTACCTAGTATTTACAGCATTTTCTGCTATTATTTCAGATTTCTATTTTCTGCTTTTGTAATGGTAGCAACTTGCTGTTGACAGTGGGAACACAAGGGTCTGCCTAGGAATGACAATCTTATGGAAAAGGGGAGATATTATAAAACAGAATCCCGACCAATGACCATTTTCAACTTTAAGACAAAAGTCTGTACGACTTGGCCACAGGAATCACCACATAAGCAACGTGAACATCCTCTTCAAATGTGAAATGTTAACTCTGGATGTTTGATGTACCACATGTACATAAAATTGAAATGCTTTACCATGATGCATTGTGAAACTAATTTATTAGTGTGGCTGCCAGCTGGCCTGAATAATTGGGGGTAGAGTAGTCTACCCTTTACTCACATGCACTCCACTTCATCGTAATCTCAAGACAGCCTGGGAAGATTTGTGACGGTCATGCCATTGCAAATTTCATCAAACTAGAGATATGGACACTTGCTCTACATATCCCCCCAGACCGAAGTGCTACCCTCAACTGCTGGGCAACAGAACTTACCAAGTGTTGTGCCATCTTCTCCCATGATACATTTCATGGATGCAATGATTTGCTCTGCAATAGGTGCAGACATTGAGGTAGCATACACTGTACTGTGAGAATGTGAGCGAAGGTAGTTCATGAGTTCCTACGAAGAAGAAAATGTATTGACTATTTTGCTATGATAAAAGATGAAAAACAATAAAACACTAAACTTTAAACTAGCTACAGATTTCTCCAAAGGTTGTGTTATGATGGAAACACTTCAGATATAATATTTCTTGGAGAAAACAAGTCTTAAAGAATTGTGGTAATACCTGGAAAGTTATCTTCAAAAGAGATCACTTAGAGTTCAAAGATATTGATTGTTTTAAAAAAAATGGCTAAGTTGTGTGATTGGTGACAACGATTTCTGAACAGATTTACACAAACTCAATCTCAATCGTTTGCTGTCTAATTCAATTTATGGATATTTGCCTATTAAATGGCCAGAACTTCAAAGCTTGACAGCAACTAAGTATCCATGCAGGCAGGAGTTCAGAATGAACACAGACGTATATCAATGCACTTTTCCTATTACAAATTGTTTAACTGGAATGTTGTTTGAAACTTTGAGCATAAAAGCAGATCTGTATCTCAATGTAGTTTTAGGTTTTTTTGACAGATTAATAAAGCACAGGATTACTTTGATCAAGAGAAGGGACAACAATATTAGGAAATTAACCAAGTTACTCTCAATGTATCTAACTTGAGAGAATATTACATCTAGTGCAATTTAATTTAATCTTGAATTACAAATTGTGTATCAACAGCTACCACAGTTCTACTCCAATTATCTTTAAGATACATTAGATAAGGCATGCCTTAGGCTACATTCAAAATCAATTTCTTTGTGTTATGAGCTGGACTGCATTGCCCCAGTATCTCAAGCTTCCATTAACATTTACATTACGTGCATCACATGAAATATTTCAAGTGCATCTATTTCAAAAGATAACTCACTGTAGTGATTAAAAATAGGACACTAAGCTTACTCAGATCACCTCGCAAGTAACATACGAATCAAAGTTTTGGGGCTTGATTAGGATTAAAACAGCTAGTGGAAGTAGTATTACTGGCATTTGCCAGGAGATGGGGATGTGGAGTACCAATAGCACTGCACCCTAAAACACCATCCGCTGGTATCCACAGCTCTATTAAAAAAAAGGAGGCTTATCTTTTTTTAAACACTATGCAGTTAGAAATATTGGAGCATCTGTCACCCTCATTTGCTAGTTTTGCCACACTAGATCTAAGCCAGCCTGATGCCAGACTGTTCAAATAATTAACTTAAATTGCCCAACAGATACACAAAGTAAGCAAAGCAGTTCTTTGATCTAAACCTAGCCAAAAGGCAGACAGACACTCAGTCTTTAAATACAAGATCACCCAAGGTACTCGAATGTTTACCAAAGTGCCTGCCACAAAGAGGTTGAAACGGAAAGTTCTAGACCAAGTGCCATACCTTTTTGCCTGCTATGTATCCGCCAGCTGCGCCAAAACTCTTAGTGAAGGTTCCCATCATGACATCCACATCCTTGGGACTGAGGTCAAAATATTCCACCACACCTCGGCCCGTTGGTCCTAGCGCCCCAATACTGTGAGCCTCATCGAGGTACAGGTAAGCCTTGTATTTCTTCTTTAATGCCACTATCTCGGGTAAACGGACAATAGAGCCCTCCATACTGTGAAACAAGAACAGGTCTGTTAAATCCAACACAACAAACCCACTTTAAAAACTTAGCCTGACCATTTCCAACCTGAAAGAACCCTCTGAATTATACTGGGGCAGAAAGTAAATACTTTAGAAATATGTAGACATAAAATGCATTTTATAATGTCATAATCTACAGGATTCTAAGTATTAAATAAGAAGAATTCCCAACATCAAGGGTCTCTTCTCATAGCATGCTGGCCTTGGGCATTATAGGCAAGTGGACATTGCCGGTTCTCCTCAGCCACCTGCAATCTGTAATGTGAAAAATCATGCTCAAAACAAGAGTAAGGAAGCATCACATATCCAGCCATAGAAATATACCACATCATTTAAACAGAGGACTCAGTTCTTGCTCTCTATATTCTAGTGGAGCCCAGAGCAACAGCAGAGGCCAAATGTGTAAAAGTACCAAGCACCAATGGAGGATGTGCTCCCGAAAGCAGATCCCTTAATCTAATTGTAAAGCATTGTAGCTGCATTGCAAGGGTATCATGAGCCAATTTTCCTCCCACAATTAGAAGTACTAAAACCCATGTTCAAGGCTTATTCTTGTTTCTCCTTTCCCAGTTAACTTTCAGCCTTTCTATATTAAAATACAGCAACCCTAGAAAACAAAAAATTCAGTTCTGTAGAATTTAAATCTAATGTAGTTCAACGCAAACCAATATAACACTACTTAAGATATCTATCATGTGCACAAATCTCCGCTCCCACTGACTAATTCCTAGTTTGGCTGTATTAAAGCTAGGTTCTTTTACTGTATAATTGTAAGTGAAAACGCCCAAGAGATAGATACCAAGCACAAATTAGCTATCCAAGTAAAATGTAAATGTGCAACTTCGGGCAACTCAAAAGAAACAACTTATATTTATAGAAAACGTTGAGCAGAAAACCTCAGCAAGGCTCTTAAACACCATGAAAAAGACAGATCAATACTGCCAATAAAATCCTCCGAATGAATACGGTACATTAACTTGTCCTTCGTTTTCAGATTATGATAAACTGATGATATGTGCATACTATTTTTTGTTTTAACTTGAGATTTTGCAAACTCTGATTCTACTTTGAATTTGTACTGAGCTATTTGTTACAATTAGCAGCATACTGGTTAAATTGGTAGTGTTTTCACCCTACTGGAGTCAGCAGTTTTGGCTGCTGATCCATTAGAGACTGGATAGTCTCTGAGCACTTTGCACAGCTAGGCAAAGTACCACCCAATGTTATTTTAGGTTGACAGCATTTAAGATCAAAGATTCTGATTATAAACACCTCTCTTCTGAGCAGCTGCTTAAATTAGCTAGTTAAAGGGTTGGTGAATATTGCTTAGCAATGGAAGCAAATTATCCGCAGATCACCATTCCATCTACCTCATAATTCAGCCAATGTTAAGAATTTCCACAGAACAGCAGACAGTTTCACTGGCACTTAATCAAAATTTATCAATGCTGCTTGTACAAATGACTGTACACAGAAAGGTTATCCAGTTACAAAACAAAGCTATTCATTATATTCGAAATGCTGTAATGCTTGCAGAGTGATAAGCAGTCAGCAACTCGTTCTTAGCAACGGACAGTTTTAATCAGTTTTTTTATTGACAGCTACACGTCAACATGTTGGTGGACAAACAAACTTTATTAACGCAAATTCACAACAATTGCCTGCCAAATTCTACTTCCATTTGTACATCGGTTTAATATCAGCATCACAAATTTACCACCCAACTGCCATAGATACTGAATGCAAATTACAAACATCTACACACTTAAAATTAACAGATCTGAGATGCACTGTTTAAATTACAACTCATTTTCAGAATTTTAATTTTAAAAAGGGAGGGAGAAATAGAACAAAGCTTAAACTAAAATAGCTGCAGTTCTTAATCTTAGCTTTAAAAAAATGCTTTTGCACATTAACACAAAAAGAACCTAATTGGGTCTAAAATTTTAGATAGCCTTCTTCAGCACTGCCACTATTATGCTCAATTCTGAGCTTCTCCATTTACTTAAGATACCTTTTACTGGTCAATGTTATTAGGCTGAAGTCAGTGAATGGGAAGCCACAAAGAATGGAAAAAGCAATCTTTAGATACCAAGATAGCAGCTGCTATTCCAGAGTTCAGAGTAGCATGCATTTGTTTTTTTTAAAAAATAAGCACAAAATTGGAATGGATGCAAACAAATTTTAATTCCATTCAAAAACATGACACCATTTAAATTTAACTTGATGAGTTCAGCACAAAAGAGGAAACTATATGCGTTAGGGAAGAAAGGCTGATTGTAGCATGGATAAAACGATTTTGCAATCAAATTAGTCACTTCATATATAAAAGGATGAAAGGTACATGTCACACATGGAATTGTGGTAACTTTTCAAAGAATATCCCAAAGTCATGACAGGATGGAAACTGAGTTTGTGTCACCATTATTCATTGTGCGCTCAGCTATCTACGGTCTGGAATTCCATTCCTAAACCCCTCCATCCGAGTACAGACAGAGTCATAGAGAAGTACAGCACAGAAACTGACCCTTCAGTCCAACTTGTCCATGCCAACCAGATATCCTAAATTAATCCAGTCCCATTTGCCAGCATTTGGCCCATATCCCTCTAAATTCTTCCTATTCATATACCCATCCAGGTGCCTTTTATTAAATGCTGTAATTGTACCTGCCTCCACCACTTCCTCTGGCAGCTCATTCCATACACACACTACCCTCTGCATGAAAAAGATGCCCGAGATGCCTTTTAAATCTTTCCCCTCGTCTAAAACCTATGCTCTCTAGTTTTGGACTCACCCACCCCAGAGAAGCAGCCTTGGCCATTTATCCAATCCATGCCTCTCACTATATTACATATTTCTAGAAGGTCATCCCTCAGCCTCCGACACTCCAGGGGAAACTAGTCCCAGCCTTTCCAGCCTCTCCCTACAGCTCAAACCTTCCAAACCCTGGCAACATCCTTGTAAATCTCTTCTGAACCCTTTCAAGTTTCACAACATCCTTCCTACAGCAGGGAGACCAGAACTACACACAACATTCCAAAAGTGGCCTAATCAATGTTCTGTACAGTTGCAAAATGACCTCCAACTCTTATACTCAATGTACCGACCAATAAAGGCAAGCATACCAAACACTTTCACTACCTGTGACTCCAATTTCAAGGAACTATGAACCTGCACTCCAAAGTCTCTCTTTTTCAGCTACGCTCCCAAGGACGTTACCATTAAGTGTATAAGTCCTGGCCTGATTTGCCTTTCCAAAATGCAGCATCTCATTTATCTAAATTAAACTCCATCTGCCACTCCTTGGCCCATCTGATCAAGATCTCATTGTAGTCTGAGGTAACCTTCTTCGCTGTCCACTACACGTCCAATTTTGAAGTCATCTGCAAACTTACTAATCATATCTCCTATATTCACATCCAAATCATTTATATAAAATGGCAAAAAGCAGCGGACCCAGCACTGATCCTTGTGGCACACTGCAGGTCAAAGACCTCCAATCTGAAAAGCAACCTTCTACCACCACCCTCTGTCTCCTACCTTCGAACCAGGTCTGCATCCAAATGGCTAGCTCTCCCTGTAATCCATGTGATCTAACCTTGCTAAGCAGTCTACCATGAGGAATCTTGTCAAATGTCTTACTGCAGTCCATAAAGATCATGTCCTCCGTTCTGCCCTGATCAATCCTCTTCATTATTTTTTCAAACAAGAGCAATGTTCACTATCCCTAGTCAGTCCTTGCCTTTCCAAATACGTGTGAATCCTGTCCCTCAGGATTCCCTCCAACAACGTGCCCACCACCGATGTCAGGCTCACCTGTTTATAGTTCCCTGGTGTTTCCTTACCAACTTTCTTAAATTGTGGCACCTCATCTGTGGCTATGATACAACTATGTCAGCAAGGGGAACAGCAATCCCTTCCCTAGCTCCCACAGAGTTCTAGGGTACACCTGATCAGGTCCAGGGGTTTTATCCACCTTTCAAAGACAAAGTTGCTGGAAAAGCTCAATACGTCTGGCAGTATCTGTGAAGGAAAAAACAGTTAATGTTTCGGGTCTGGTGACCCTTCCTCAGAACAGGACCCAAAACGGTAACTGTTTTTTTCCTTCACAGATGCAGCCAGACCTGCTGAGCTTTTCCAGCAACTTTGCTTTTGTTCCTGATTTACAGCATCCGCAGTTCTTTGTTTTTGTTTTATCCACCTTTATACATTTTAAGCTGTCCAGCACCACCTCCTCTGTAATATGGACATTTTTCAAGACATTGCTATTTATTTTCCCACGTTGTCTCTTCCATATCCTTCTCCACAGCAAACACTGATGCAAAATACTCATTTAGTATCTCCCCATCTCCTGCGGTTCCACATACAAGCGGCTTTCCTGATCTTTAAGGGGCCCTATAGCTCTCTTTCATCCTTTAAGATGCTCCTGAACAGCTACCTCTCTGACTAGACTCTTGCCAAATTTTCCCAGTATCTCCTAAAGTGGCTTAGTGTCAAATTCTGATCAACTGCACCTGGGTGAATCTTATGGTACCTTCTGTAATGTAGTAAAACACCCCATCAGGTGTTCCGATTTCTTGAAACATTACCTGGAATAACAGGACGTTGCAAACCATTGAGGTAATGACATTTTCAAGATGTAGATAGCTCTGCAATTACAAGATTTGATGGCATGTGCAGTGAAACGTTAAACATGCAAGGCAGTGAACACAAGGCACATTTCCAGTATTTCAGACAGACATTGCTCACATACTGTAGAGTGCACAAAATCTCATTCAGATTGAATTCTGTAACTGAACACAACTACTTATGTTTGTACCTGTAAATTCCCTCTACAACAATGAGAATCTTTTTCCATGGTCTGCGAGTCCGTGGCTGCCCATGTACAATAGCGTCTTTCAACAATTTATCCAAGCTCTGCATATCTGAAAATAAAACAAGCATTGTAACGAGTATGGAGCTGATTTTACACAAACATCCATTGATAAACAACCATGCATTTTCAGCCATGGTCAGCGGTCAGTGCCCACAGAAAAGCTTGTCATTGTTACCTTAAAATGTTGAGTAAAAAACCAAAAATAAAAATGAGAACTGAAGTTCAACACTAGTCAGTGATGCAAATCAGCCCACATTAGCTTGTCCACCCAGAACGAATACGTATTATAACATTTGCTGATAAGAGACATGTTGTAGAAGCTTTTCATCTTGCACATCAGTGGTGTAATGCCAGGTACGTAGGCTGCACATCCAAAAGACTGGCAGACTAAGTCAGAGAAAGTATCCCTTTGGTTGTCTGCAATAGGCATTTGCTGACTGTATTGATCTGGCCCTTGCTTGCAAAATGCAAACCATAATGTCTAATGTTATGTGATTCTGAGATCAGGCAGCAGTTAGCAAGTAATCCCAAACATGCCAAGAATTACACTAACAACCAATGTAAGATCTGTCAGGGTGAAAATGTAGCTCATTTGTGCTTGTTAGAAGCTACATATATTGTTACACAGGGACCTGGCCTCTGCAGGAGAAAGGGAACATGACCAAGCATTGCACCTCTTGAATTAAAAGAGAGAGAACTGCAGCAGCTCCCTGGTGCATTCTCCATGTCAACATCTTGACCCGAACGGCTTGCCAACTAATCAGCCTTTGTGCGCTGTATGAGCATTACTCCCTTTGAAATGCACTATTCTTTGACCTGTCCTAATGAGGGCAAGATGAAAAGCTTTGACAGCATATTTTTTCAATCAATATACAACTTCCGTACTACTAAATGATTTAATTGAATGGTTGAAGAGGCTTGTGCAGCTGAATAGTCTACTGCTTTTCCAGTCCACTGCTTATTCTTATGTAACAAGATTGTTAGTACTTAGTGAAATACAGCATTTCCTCAACCTGCCACTAACTTACAAATTCCCTGAAATATGCAGTTCCTTGTTTGAGTTTGCTAATGCATTACTAGCCAGGTGACAGGGATTAGTGAAACTAACAGCGGGCAGGGAGAGGAAGCAAGCAAATAGCACATTATTCTAACCTATTTATTGTACTTGCCCTGGAGAATGTGAGGTCTTTCTCAAATCACCTCATTAAGGAGGAGATAATGACGAAGTAGGAATGTCACTGGACTAGTAACTCAGGCTAACAGTCTGGGAGTATGGGTTCAAATCGCACCATGGCAAATGGTGAGATTTGAATTCAATAAAAATCTATAATAAAATGGCAAACATGTAACAACTATCGTTAAAAACTCATCTGTTTTACCTTTAAGAAAGGAAATCTGCTGTGCTTACTTGGTCTGGCCTAAGCCTGACTCCAGATTCTCAGCAATGTACAAAGAAAGTCAGAGTTAACCTTTTGGGTCCGATGACCCTTCCTCAGAATTGAAGGGTCATCGGACCCGAAAAGTTAACTGATTTTTTTCTTCACAGATGCTTGCTGCCAAACATGCTGCGCTTTTTCAGCGACTTCTGTTTTTGTTCCTGATTTACAGCATCCACAGTTCTTTGTTTTCTCAGCAATGTAGTTGACTCAACAGCCCTCTGGGTATTTAGGGATGAGCAATAAACGTTGGACTAGCCAGGGATGCCCACGTTTCATGATTAAAGCAGTCTATTTCTAAATGTAACAAGACCACAGCAACATTCTGGGCTGACAAGTAGCAAGTAGTGCATGTGCCACACAAGTGCCAGGCAATGATCATCTCCAACTGGAATGAATCTAACCATTGTCTCTTGTAATTCAATGGCATTACCACATGCCTGGATGATGGCAGCTCCAACAACTCAAGAAGCTTGACACTATCCAGGACAAGGCAGCCCGCTCAATTGGCACCACAGCCACAAACATTTACTGCCCCTACCACTGACGCTCTGTAGCAGTGCTATGTACCATCTACAAGACGCACAGCAGAAATTCCACTCACTGTTGTGCTTGAAAACTCTGATGGTTGCACCTGAAAGTCTGGCTCCAAGCACCAAAGAGGCATGGTTTAGCTCATCACTCAAGATCAGACAGCCCTGCAGACAAGATTAAAGAAAGTGTTAGAACTTCATTTAAAAAATACTTCGCAGCTGATATACATTTCTTCTGCCCATAACAAGTCCTTCCTTTTCAGAGATTGTTCTCCGAATTCTTCTCCAAAACAGGCGAAGTTGGAATATAATCACATGGGGAAGAGATGGTTTGAGCACCTACAATTCTTGACACATTATCAATACTTATTATTCCAGGACACTTTCCAAATGGTCTGCAAAAAGCTCTGCCATACTATTGGTAGAACTGCTGTACATGACCCACAACATACAGAAAGATTGTTATGCTTCACTAATCCACTGTTGCGTGATTGCGATATAGGGTGAGAGATTTATATATAATTTAGTTTTAATTTTGGAATTTGGAATTTAGAATTTTGAATTCGTGACAGATGGTTTTGTATGTCTGAAGGGTTTAAAGATTAACTTGCAAACATTTCTTCAGTCATGGCGATCTCTTTTGACGATTGTAGATAACACCAAGATTGGTGGTATATTGGACAGTGAAGTAGGTTATTTGGTAATACAGAGAGATCTTGATCAACCAGGCCAGCGGGCTGCGGAATGGCAGATAAAGTTTAATTTAGATAAAAGTGGAGTGAAGTGTTGAATTTTGGGAGATCAAATCAGGGCAGGACTTACACAGTCAAAGGTATAGCCCTGGGGTGTGTTATAGAACAAACAGATCCAGGGGTCCAGGCTCATAACTCCTTGAAGTGGAGTCACAGGCAGACAGGGTGATGAAGGCAGCTTTTGACATGCTTACTCTCACGAGTCAGAGCATCGAGTATAGGAGTTGGGACGTCTTGTTGCAGTTGTACATGATGTTGGTGAGGCCACATTTGGAGTACTGTGTGCAGTTCTGGTCACCCTACTATAGAAAGGATATTATTAAACTAGAAAGAGTGCAGAAAAGATTTACTAGGGTGCTACCGGGACTGGGAGGTTTGAGTTATCAGGAGAGGCTGGGACATTTTCCCCTTGAGTACAGAAGATTGAGGGATGACCTTACAGGTCTGTAAAATCATGAGGCATAGACAAGGTGAATAGCCAACAGCTTTCCCCCATAGTAAGGGAGTCTAAAACTAGATTGCATGGTTTAAGGCGAGAGGAGGGAGATACAAAAGGGTTCAGAGGGGCAATTTATTCATACAGGTAGTGGCGAGTGTCTAGAACGGATAGTAGTGGAGGCAAGTACAATTTCATCATTTTCAGAATCATTTGGACAGGGATGGGATAGGTACGGAGGGACAAGGACCAAATGCAGGCAAAGGGAAGTAGTTTAATTGTGAAAACTGGGCGGCAGGGACAAGTTGGACCAAAGGGCCAGTTTCCATGCTGTAAATCTCTGACTTAAAAAATTTGAGAAGCAGCCTCCAGGATGAATGAGTTTTTGTTTACATTAGGAGGGGTTATGGCTGGACAAAATAAACAATCATGCATTGAGGTTTGTTAGAAACTTCTCAACTTGGTGTTTTTTAAACTTGGGGAAACCCTATGGCTTGCAAACAGACTTTAAAAAGTTAATGCAAAATACTGGGAATGTTAGAAATATGACAAAATGCTGGAGAATCTCAGCAGGACTGGCAGAAACAATGGAGAGAGAAAAGCAGTTAACAATGAGTCCAATATGATTCTTTAAACAGTTCAGTTCTGAAGTAGAGCCATATCGGACTTGAAATGTTGAAATTCTGTTTCTGTCTTCATAGATGCTTCCAGACCTGCTGAGTTTAAGCATTTCTACTTTTAAAAAAAATTCAATTTTGGGCAGCTCTGCCAAAAGGTGTTCCTAAGAAATGGAAAGGAGGCGGGTGGCCATCAGATTTTCCAGACTGGGAGTTGAAGTTACAAATAAATTAAAGTCTACTGAAGTGCTAGAAAGAGGTTTTCTCGGATGCAATTAATGCACAAAGGGTTCTTATGGTACTATACATGAGTCTTTTTGGATGAATGGGATTGTGGTCCTCTCTCAAAATCTTTAAATTTAATGTATGCAATTGCATTAGTTACAATGTTAATTGCTCAATCCAGATGTCATTGTGTCTTATTAACATTATGTGACGTAGTAACATAAATCAGGTTAGCAAAGATATCTGTTGTAGGCATTTAATGTCAGTAGGCTAAAATCTACATCATGCAGTGATCAAAACAAAAGGAGTAATTCCAGGGTGAAACCTCACCCTGGAACCTATACCATGGTCAGATTTTGCTATTTTGTCCATCATGTGTAAAAATATTTACATAAAGTGTAAATGAATAAAAAAATTGGCACCACAATTTTTTAATGAAATATTCAAATATTTAATTGAAAATTGAAAAATATGAAGCTCAACTCGCTTAGCAGGCAAAATTTATTTTCAAATGGAATCATTTCATGATTGTATGTAGGAAGGCTAACATCCTGTTAACAGAATTCACCCCCAACCTCCCCACCTCCCTCTCAGCTAAAAGTAATACACAATATTTCTGCAATGCTGCAAACTATCTAAGCTCAACCAGCCCTATGGCAGAAGCAGCAAAGTGTGAACAAAGTGCATAACTATTAGTATGCTCTTGCACACTTGCTCAGATCATTGAGGGCATCTCTAAGCACATCATTTCACAAGTCTAGGAGAAACAACTCTTTCAAAAAACTTACACCACCCACGTCCCCAAGAAAGATTGGATTGTGGCTATTAGTTATGTAACCTGAAGATTATGTAGGTCAATACTGAGGGTCAAAATTGGATGTTCTAGGGAGCTGTTGGCATCTAGAAGCACATCTACTGGAATGAATCTGAAAACCCTTCCGACATAGCTATCAAATAAATTTGGGTGCTGGTGAGCTAGTTGACCGGAACAGGAGGAACACACAAGACGATGGGGTCTTGTTTTGGTCTGTACTTATCACCAGGCACAGAACCAAACAGATGGCAGGATTAAAGAGATGAAATGCTGGAACACTAATCACAACATAGCTTATACCTGAATAGCAATTCCCAAGACACCAGTGTGGAAGAGCAAATTACTGCAGATGCTGGAATCTGTACTGAAAACAATAAATGGAGTCTGACAAAGAGCCATCTAGACTCGAAATGTTAGCTTGCGCTCTCCCCATGGATGCTGTCTGACCCGCTGTGATCCAGCATTTGTTGTTTTAACTAGTGTGGAAGAATTCAGCCTCAATAATGCTTTCTTGCTCTTCAAGTTCAATATTAACAGCTACGCTAAAAATTCACAAAAAGTATATGTACAAATAGCTCCAATTCCAGTACTGAAAAGACATTGTAATATATTTAGTTGTGCTCAGCAGGTTAGTGGTGCGTTGAGATGGAGGGCCATGTTTGGACAATTTTGACATTTGAATGGGGCTGCTGGCTACTTCAAAATTCATTAAGTCACTGTCGGCTAAACAAGTGGAACATTCTCTTCCCCAAGAGAACTGCTTAGTTTTTAATGATTGTGGTGGGGTGACAAAAGCACTCCAATCCACAAATGAAAATATTTCCCATGCTTATTTTTACAATTTTTTTTACAATGAGATCCGAGTGGCTAAACCAGCGATATAGCTATTAAGGCTACAGGACTTTGCCAGTTTGATAATCCAGAATCGTAATTCAGTCGCAATCAAAATAAAATATCAGAGAATCATTGTAACAAACACATGTGTCTGAAAACGTGTTAAATGCTTCACTATTAGCAAACTAGGTAAACAAGCAATTTATGCTGCAGCTCTACAAAACTCTGGTTAGACCACACTTGGAATATTGCGTTCAGTTCTGGTAGCACCCTAGTAAATCTTTTCTGCACTCTTTCTAGTTTAATAATATCCTTTCATTACAGGAAAGATGTGGAAGCTTTAGAGAGGGTGCAGAGGAGATTTACCAGGATGCTGCCAGAACTCAAGGGCAGGTCTTATGAGGAAAAGTTGAGGGAGCTCAGGCTTTTTTCATTAGAGCGAAGGAGGATAAGAGGTGACTTGATAGAGGTTTACAAGATGATGAGACGCATAGATAGAGTGGACACCCAGAGACTCTTTCCCCAGGGCGGAAATGACTATTACTAGGGGGCATAATTTTAAGGTGATTGAAGGAAGGTATAGGGGAGATGCCAGAGGTAGGTTCTTCACAGAGTGGTGGGTGGGTGGAATGCGCTGCCGGCAGTGGGGTTAGATACTTCAGAGACTTTTAAACGACTCTTGGATAGGCACATGGAGGACAGTGAAATGTCGGGTATGCGGGTAGATTGATCTTAGTAGGATAATAGGTCAGCACAACAGGGCCTGTACTATTCTATGTTCTTCTATGTTCAACTGCAATCCCAGATTCTGATTCCATCCAATCCCTGTATCTGGATTTACTAACCTCAATTAGCTATAATTAGCATTAATGCAGTAACCCTTTTTCTAATTCAAAGTGCTCAGGGAAGGGGAGGAGAATACAGAAAGAACTAGTCAGACTTGATCTCCAACCTTGCACAACAGTGTGCGCACATTTCAGGTGAGGATTGATGTTAAAGCTGATCAAGCACTTTCAGGTATACTGTAGTCATTCAAGTGAGAAAGGAAGGGAATGCCACTGACTGCATTATTACGCTCCAACACAAATTTTATTGATTTCTGGAGAGAAGTTATAGTGCAGAAATAAAGTAAACAAACCTTGCCAACAAGAGCAGGAATATTCATAGAGTTTGTTGCAAAGCCCATTCCAAATGCCATGGCTGCTTCAACTCCCAAGAACCGAGCCACTAACTTTTCTAGCTCTTCATGTTTGTCTAGGTTACCTGTGAATGGAATCAACCATCTTAAATTTGAAATGGAAATGAATTGGAATGTTTTCAAAAGTTCCAGCTTGCATTTCAGCACACTTAGAGTAGCTGTTCATTTTATTTAAACATCAACATTAAGAGGCTCAGCTGACATCCAAACATTTTCTTTTAACAACATAGAAAAGCCATGGCACAGAGAGGCCATGTAACTGTGTCTGCACCAGCTCAATAAACTACTCAACCATTTCAATTCTACTTGCCAACACTAGGTCCACAGCCATCAATTACAGATTTAGGTTCATTTTGAATAAGTTTAGCGTTTCTGCCTCAACCACACCAGGAATGCCAGAAAGTGATGTGCTGTTTAAAAATATAACCTCCAGTGGGGGGAGGGGAGGAGAGCAAACATTGGCTCTGGAATTGATTATCAGATCAGACAAATAGATTTTCACACTACCGTGACATTCTGGATAAGCAGCAAGTAATACTGAGCACAGTAAGGAAACATTTTCATTCTCTACAAAACATTGTATATTCCTTTCTAGTAGCTACAGGATATCAAAAAAAATCATCCAAATGTCAGAAAATTAACAAAAAGCAGCCAGATTTTCAGTTACCCTAAAATGCTGCACCTGCAAGAGATGCTTTTGGTTAACTCAAATGGCTGTTTTAAAATTGATGGGATTATATTTCTATAATGTTTCAAAATTTTTTTAAAAGGTGTTAAAATAGTTTAGTCTATTCGATTTTATTTCAGTTTGCTTAATAACCTCCTGTTTTATTGTTAAAACAAAGTCTGCAACATTGTGCGCTTCTGGTTCAGACAGATCATCCAGTTAAATCCAAACATTATCTATCAAGTCTGATTTCAGTCCTGGATCTGACTTGTACAGTAACTTGTACATCAGCTGGAATCATTATCTTTTTATGCTCTAACCTTCAATCACCTGCATAATCAATCCTCAAATGTTGAGATGATCTGATTTAATCAACTTTACTAAAGCATTCCACAGCCTCATAAGCCTGAGGAAAAGCAGTTTCTGCTGCTGTCCTAAATTTCTTACATTCAATCTACCCCTATTGCTATATACATTCACTTGAAACATCTGTATTTATTAGGTGCTTAAAATCACTTGCAGCAAATGCTAATGATCGCCTACACGACAACTGTTGTTGCATATTCAAAGTAATTCATTGGTTAAACAAAAAAGATAAATGTCGTGTCTGCATGTTATGAAGTAGTAAAAACTGTTTCTCATTCCTTTCTGTACTGGACTATTTTTAAATCAGATCCTGATTTTAATTTACATTTCTTAATCCAGACCAAAGAGGACTACTTCAGGTTTTGGCTGGAAAACTAAAGTAAGCTGTTTTTAGTTAATGGTTTTCCCTAATTATTTCTATCTTACCCATTCTTCTTTGTAGACTCCCCTCACCAAACATTTTGTTCTTAAACAGTATTATTGACATTCTCATTGTTTACTTGTAAATGTACACTCAGTTCAGGTGGAATGGGTCTCTCAAATTCATCTCCCTTATATCCTATTCACAAGCGATGAGAGCCATTACAGAGAATAATCACCATTACGAACATGCTTGATGTGTCAAGAATCCACATACGTTTGCTCCAATGCTGCAAAAAACTTGCAGTAAGCTTGAAAAAAAATCACTGTCACTGACTGTATAATAGTTCATGCCTCTGGTAGATTTCTATGAAGGGTAGTGTTTCCTCAAATATCTTAGGACATTTTATTACCTGGATGCATAAAAATAGCTGTTTGATGCATGAACCTGGGGAATTGGGGGAGTAGATCGGTACCAGCTTAGCATAACTGCATTATTCCCTCTAGACTCTTAGTAAAGAAATTAAAACGTTTTATAGATGGTAACTCACCAATTTCTTGCCGTGTACTACAAACCCCAACTCCATATTGGATGGTTGCCTCAGCTGCTGCATCTGCACAGAAACCCTGGCGTTCAGCAAAACCCAGGTAGTTGTATGAACCCATGTTGAGGACATCTTTGATGATAGTGCCAGTAAACCTAAATCACAAAATGTCCATTCATCATATTTAGCAACCAATGTGCTAGTGAAGTAAAACTAATTACAAAGAGTTAAACAATCATATTCAACACGGTTAGTATCAGCATTTCTACACTTGGAAATAACATTCTAAAATCTCGATTTTAGATTTCAGTTTTACCTTTCAATGTAAAATTCATCAAAGTGTGTTTGATGATCTTAAGTCTCTGGATCCAAAATTAATATCCAGCTCAAACTTAGCACTTCCTGCTGATCGTATTGGATCATTCAGAAAGGAGTTTGAACAGTCACAAGCCAGTTCCAGTTAGGTTTACATCACATTGAAAAAGTGATAATGATTGCTTTAAAAACGAATAAAGCATTATTAGTGCAGTTGAGATGGAATGCAAGCGACACATTGCAGCAATACGTTGCATCTAACTGTGCTGTGCATAATTTGGGAATACACACTGGTGATACTGGAAGCCTGATATTGAGAGTGTTCCATTTCTTGGTACTAATTTATTTCATCTTGAGGACAGAGGCACACCAAAATTGGATGCTGGCAATGCACAAAATTGAGTCTACAAGTAAACTCTTTAGCTGCCATGGTCTCGTTCTGCACTACCAGAATTCTCTGCTCTTCAACAACCACTTCCTCTTCTTTAGATGACTGATTTTCACTCACACCTTCCCCGTTTTCATGTTTGAATCATTCCAATTGGGTTTCCTAATTCACAAGTTTGAAATGCCTAGTATCATTGCCACAAATGGCATGTTACAGGATTGTGAAGATGATAAAAACTGTCTCGTCATCCTCTCTTGACCAGTCTGTAACCTGTAATATAGCTGAACATACCATCCTCCTCACAGATCTCATTATCATTTCCCACCTAGATGGGATTGCTCTTACCCAGCTCCATTTTTACTTATCTTGTCAATGCCAGAGAAGATGGTTTCACTTCCTGCTCCCAAACTGAAGCCATCAACTTCAGTCCCTTCAATCAATAAATTCCAATCTTGTAGTCAGTGACACTATCCCTTTGTAACTAAGACGTTTAGATTGTCCACAACCACCATGAGCCTCCTCCAAGTATTATGCTTGATGGCAAGATCAGCTCCTGGCTGATCATTTTCCCTTGTACAATACTGTTGAACTCCTCTCCTACATCAGCTTATCCACTACTAAAACTCTCACTTAGGTCTAGAGGTTGGTCAGCTCGCCGAGCTGGTTTCTTGTTTCGCAGACGTTCCGTTACCATGCTGGGTAACATCCTCAGTGCAGCCTCTGATGAAGCGTGGGTGTTTTCTCCCGCCTGGTTTTTAAACTCTGGAGTCCGTTGAGCTGGATTGCCTCACTTCCAGTTTTCCTTCGTAGTGGAGTGTATATGGGGTCGAGTTCTATGTGTTTATTAATAGCATGCTTCGTGGATTGCCAGGCTTCTAGGACTCCAGAGTTTAAAAACCAGGTGGGAAAACACACCGGTGCTTCATCGGAGGCTACACTGAGGATGTTACCAAGCATGGTAATAAAACGTCTGCAAAACAAGAAACCAGCTCGGCAAGCCAACCAACCTCAACACCCACAACCCGAGCTACAAATCTACTCCAAAACCTTAGAGTCTCACTTAGGTCTTTGACGTCCCAAAACTTGATTATTCCAAAGGTTCCCTGGCTCAAATCCTACATTCTACCCTCCGAACTTGAGATCACGTAAAGAATACTGCCCACACTTCAAATTTTACAAAATTCCTTTTACCCATCACCCCTGTGGTCACTGAATTTTAAAATTCTCATCTAATTTTGAAATTCCTCCAAAGTCATCTTCTATCCATCTCTATAAATCTGCTCCAGCCCCGTAATCCCACTTCTTGTTCCATATCTGCACTTGTCCAATTCTGCAACCTCAAGCACCAATTTTAAAAATCAATTACAAATAATATGCAAACAGAAGCTTAATTTTCTTTAAATGCTTCAATTTTGCCAGACATTAAAAAAATACACAACAGTTTTGCTTCTGCACGCACAGAAAATAAAACATGAGATTTACAGCCAACTAGTCACTATCCTTAAAACTATCACTGGGTAAATGTAAGGCAAAGGTTTGATATCCTACAGTTTACAGGATCTCAGGCTTACATGCTAATAAAGGCTACAAAATATCACTGCAGCTGGGAGATACTTTGCAGCTTGACAAGCTGAAAGCTACTCCACGCAATTTTAGATCACTTCCCCCACTTTCTAGTTGCTGGATCTATTACTTCTCGTCCATGTGTGACTGGTTTAAAGAAGCCTGTACTATTGCAGAGAACATCAGTTAAAGTACAAACTACAACGCACTGAAATCGAAGATTTCAAACCAAACTAAAACCTAAGAATTATCAATACAAATTGAAATTAACATCTATAAGTACACAAATCAATACATAAAAGCACAGCAACATCTGTGGTGAGAGAAATGTTTCAATTCTAATATGATATCTTCAGGACATCACAATACCTCCTGTCCTGTAGTGCATCTTGATTGGCTATTTTTATTGGAAATAATCTTTTTCCAGGTTTACTAGGATGTCGTCTGGTCTGGGGGATTTTATCTATGAAGAATGGTTGGATAGACTGGATTTGTTTTCACTAACACAGGAGGTTGCGGGGCGACCTGATAGAAGTTTAAAAGATTGTGAATGGCATGGATAGAGTGGAACGCATCAGGTTTTTCCAGATGGAAGAGGGGTCAATAACCAGGGGGACATAGGTTCAAGGTACAAGGGAGAGATGTTTAAAAGAGATGAGCAACTCAAGTTTTCACAAAGGGTGGCGAGTGTCTGGAACGCGTTGCCAATGGTGGTGGTGGAAGGAGACAATAGCAGCATTCAAGAAACAGCTGGATGAATACCTGAACAGGAAGGGAATAGAGGAATATGGATTCTGTAAGCGAAGGCAGTTTTAGTATGGAAGGGGAAAGCGTGTCGGCACAGGCTTGGAGGGCCGATGGTCCTTCCTGTGCTGTACTGTTCTTTGTTCTTATAGCCAGTTGTTACTGAAACAAAAATGTTGGCATTTCATGGAACTGTGCCTCAAGGTAATAATATTGACTGACAGTGGTACCATACAATTCACTAACCGCCATTATTCCACAATAAAACAGAATCTAAAGGAGGTTTGAAAATTGTTGCTTCAATTCCAATCACTTATAGACACAGCTCCCATTCACAGTCATGTTTTCTTAATTGCTTAAGTCACTCAAGCAAAGCAAAAAAGCTTGATGCCTAAACATCAGCCTCTTATTCTCAAAAATTAGAATTTCAGTGGTATTGTTCAAGGGAAGGCCAGGGAACTGCAGAGTTTGATAACTACTCCAACCATGTTGCTGGGAATGTTAGACAGCTGTTTGCCTATCTGAATAAAAACTCAAAACTGATAAGAATTCACTGATGCAAAGCTTAGACATGTTTGCAAAACCAGTGTACTATTTTATCAATTGTGATATAAATAAATAATAACCAAAAGAACTGCGGATGCTGTAAATCAGGAACAAAAACAGAATTTGTTTTTTCAAAACAAAGCTCAGCAGGTCTGGCAGCATCTGTAGAAAAAAAAATCTTGATTGAGTATCAGCTTGAAACAATTCGATGTTTGTGGGTTCAGGCCAGGACACAATCCAAGATGACACTTCACAGTAGTATTCAAAGTACTGTATTATTGTTTGTGATAACTTTTGTTTTCAACCTAAACACATTTTCCTCACTCTGAAAAGTGTAGTGTTGCTCAGACTAGTGTTTAAATCCCTGCATTGGCTCAGCTCCCCATTATCTGTCTAACCTCAATCTGAACTACAAACTGCATCCCAATACATTCACATTCTGGCCTCTTGTATGCATTTTTCCCTCACTACGAGCAGCCATGCCTGCAGCTGTCTAGACCATTAGTTTTGTACAGTACTCCCTCTGCCTCTCAGACCTTCATTTAAACCCAATTATCTGACAAGCTTTGGTCAACCCTCATCCTTAGTTCAGAACCCAATTCTTCCATCAAGTCTGAAGTCTTGCAAGTATAAATAAACCCAGAATAAATTTTCTAAAGTCTGTTCAAATGCATGAATTTGGGTCTATCTTCTGACCCATCTTCCAGTGAACTTCATTTTCTCACTAGAATTGCCATTAATTTACTGATGCTTGGTTCCTGAACAAGAGATGAACCACAGTTCTCACAGATAGATGTTTTTCTTACCTTGGCTGTTGCAGTTGAAAAATCCTTCTGTCAACCCACTAGCCGACTAAAATTAGTATTTAGTTCAGTTAACTTTTAATTAAGTGGTTTAAAGGGTATACAAGGCTGGAAAAATATCAATATTATTGACTTTATTTTTACTGTTCAAGCCTCAGATTGAGTGTTTAAGTGTGCAATATGCCTCAGTTTAAGGACAATATTCATTGTGAAACAGGTATTATGAATCTGCCACAAGTATCAGCTGGCAAACCGCAAGTTTGGTCATTAACCCTGAAAGAATGTAGTTGGTACATTAAGTGTAGATAGGTTGACTCACTCAAATGTCCAGTTGTAGTCATGAGAGACTCTCTCCATTACATCGAACTTTGCCCCAGGGACACTGCAGATGGGCCGGTTCCAGCTGTCTCGAATCCTCATGTACAGGTTTCTGGTATAGAAATTTTCAAAGTCTTGGTACAATGGTACAAAATCCTACAAAAGAATAACTTAGAATTATTCCAAGGTGTACTGCTTTATTGTACATCTGAAGGTCTAGAAATGAAAAATTCTAATCATGCCAGAATAAGTTCTTCCAATTTAGAATACAGAAAAATGTTTATTAACAATGTGCATCTATCAATGAACAAAACAAAAATGTTATTTTCAGTTTAGTTAGGATCAATTAGGAGCCTAAGCATCTGCTGGAGAACAAAACACATCTAAAAGTAGTTTAGGCAACATTTAGAAGTTTGAGACTCAGCTAATAAAAGATTACAACAGATGACTAATTTTCTTTACAATCCACAAACACTTTCATTGCAAACTTAAGTGTCTCTTTGAAAGCAACGTTATTCTGTAGCAGATAATGAGCAACTGTACCATCTATGCCTTTGAGCAATGATACTGCAGCATTTTCTTTAAAGACATAAATCACTTTGAAATCCAATTATGTAGACAATGTAAACCTTCCTAATTACAAAATAGAACATTTTTAAAAAGGTAGAATTCAAGAAAAATAGTTGTACCATTATAAATGTTGTACAAAGTCATAATTGCTCCAATTTATATTTACGTAAAACCTTTAATGTAACAACAGATTCCAAGATATGAGGGAACAGTACAAACAGATGCACAACATGGAAACAGACCTAATACTCTCGAGTAGATTTGTAGCACAGTTTGTGTATGCAGTGGTTGGCTCATTTGCCAAGTTGGCTCATTAGTTTGCAGATGTTTCATTACCATGCTGGGTAACATCAGTGCAGCCTCCAATGAATCGTTGTTGTATTTTCCCCACTTGTTATTTAAAGTCTGGGTCTGTTGGAGTTGATTACCTCATTTCTGGTTTTTCTTTCCAGTGGCGTATATATAGGGTCTAATTCTGTGTGTTTATTGATGGCGTTCTTGGTGGAGAACAAGGCCACTAGGAATTCGTGCTTGTCTCTGCTTAGCGTATCCTCGGATCATGATGATGTCCCAATCGAACTGGTGGTTCTCCTTGTCTGTGTGTATGGACATGAGTGAGTATTGGTCGTGTCTTTTTGTTGCTAGTTGGTGTTCATGTATTCTCGCAGCTAGTTTTCTTTGTCTGTCCAATGTAAATGCTTGTTGCAGTCCTTGTATGGAATCTTATGCATTGTGTTGGTTCTGTCCATAGCGGGTAAGGGGTCTTTGGTTCTTGTTAACAGTTGGCGTAGGATTGATGTAGGTTTGTGCGCCACTCTGATGCCCAGTCGCTGTAGGAGTCGTGATCAGTTCAGATGTGTTCTTGCTGTACGATAACGTGACAAGTGTGTCGGGGCGTACCGTATCTTCCTGTTGTTTGCGTGCTAGGCATTGGACCCAGCTGTTCAGGTATCTGTTGTCTCTAAATACTTGGAGATATTCTTCTTCATTTTGGCATAGTTCCGAGTTGCAGTGTATTGTGGCTCGTTTGAATAGTGTTTTCATGCAACTCTTTGTGGGTGTTGGAGTGGTGACTGTTGAAATTTACGACTTCATCTGTGTGGCCTTATACTTTGGTCAGAAATTCTCCATTGGCCTTGCGTTCTACCATCATGTCCAGGAATGGGAGCGGTGTTCTTTTCTTCTTTGGTGAATTTGATGCTGGTGAAAATGTGGTTTAGAAGCTGGTGTGCTTTTTCTAGTTTAGTCCGTTTGATATGATGAAATTGTCGCCCACATATCAGATCCATAGTCAGGGTTGGATCTGTGGAAGGGCCATGATTTCAAGTCTCTGCATCAATGCTTCTGCTATTAGTCTAGAGATGGGTGATCCCACAGTTGTACTGTTGATTTGTTCATAGATCTGGCTATTAAAGGTAAAAGTGGGTCAGGGGCATAAGTCCAGTAATTTCAACATGTTCTCTGTGGAGATTGCTGTTCGGGTCTGGTTCCTTCAGCAGTGTGGCTAGTGTTTCTCGTTAGTGGTATGTTGATCGATGCAAATAGGGCGGTAACGTCAAAGGATACCATGGTCTCGTCCTCGTCTATTCTTATGTCTTTGAGGGTTTGAAGAACTCCTGGGCTGAATGGATTGAGTGGGTTGAGTTGTTAACGAGGTGCTTTAGTCTTCATTGTAATTCCTTGGCTAACTTGTGTGTTGGTGCGCCTGGAGGAGAGACTGTGGATCTGAGGGGTACTTCTGGTTGGTTTACCTTTGGGAGGAAGGAGGGGTTTCTTCCCTCAGGTTTCATTTTTAGGTAGTCTGCTTCGTTGATTTGTCCGGTCTGTCTGAGTCTCTTTAGCACGTAGATGACTTTGTTTCCCAGCTGCGATGTCGGGTCGGTTTCCACTTGTCAGTTTGTATTAGTGTCCGCTAGTAGCGTCTGTGCTGTAGTCTTGTTTGTAATTCTTAATTAACTACCAGCTCAGTGAACGAACCAACCACAGCATGGAAACGGACCCTTTGGTCCAACTCGTCCGTGCTAACTAGATATCCTAAATTAACCTAGTCCCACATGCCAGCATTTGGCGCATATCCCTCTAAACCCTTCCTATTTATACCTATCCAGATGATACCTTTTAAAATGTTGTAATTGTAGCAGCCTCCATCACTTTTGCAGCTCATTCCATACATGCACCACCCACTGTGTGAAAAGTTTGCCCCCTAGGTCCCTAAACAAACCACAGAAGTACTGCAATGTCAAGGAATGTCTTAAAGGGAGAAAAGCAATGTCTAAATGAGGAAAGCAAGGTAGAAACAGTGCTCCAGACCTAGGGGTAAGGCATCAGAAGTCACAGCCAGCAACAATGAGATTAAAATCAAGGATGCTCAAGAGACCAAAATCAGATCAGCATGGGAATCTTGGAAGGTTATGTGGGCAGAGATTAGACATAGAATAGCAGGACCTCTAAAGGATGAGGATTTTTAATGTGTGACATTACTGACCTACATTGCTTGACCAGGAGTCAAAGAACAGGAATGAAAACTTGGTGTGCCTTAAAGGCCAGAAAGTAGAATGTGGGACACCAGGAGTGCATTGGAATCATCAGGTCTTGAGCCAAGAATGAGAATATTAACAAGACAGCTGAGTCAGGAGTCCAATCAGGAAATCTTCATGGTGGCAAAAAAATCAGGTCACAAGTGCCAACTATGACAAAGTTGTGAATAGACTGTGTTAAGCTGACTGTTGCCAGAGAGATGAGGATGGAGTCAGTATCTAGTGATTGAAATCTGCAGCAAACAGTTTCACTCAAAATCGGATAAGAATTCTGCCTGACAGGATATGTAACAAGTAATTTGACAGTTAAACAATGGAGTCACCAAGAGAGGTGCTTGTGAAGTCAATGTGAAATTAACACACTGCTTCTGGGTTATGTCAGAGGAGCAGTAAGTAGATGAGAAATAGGCAAGGTCCAAGGATGGATCTACGGCAGACACCAGAGATAACAATGCAGAAGTGGAAGAGATGCCATTGCAAGTGATTCTGATTACAAGATATTTAACAGTAGAACTAAACAAAAGCAGTTTCATCCATGACTGTGGAGGTGCACTGGAGGGGATGGCATGGCCAACTGTAACAAGACTAGACAATTTGAGGAGGAAAATTTTGTTTTTTACAGACACTTGTCACAACAGACCAGTTTTTTGCTTCCAACTCAAATAGATGCAGGTCAAAGAAAATTCCAAAAATGAAGGACTGATTAAATTTGCTGCAACATTTAAAACGTCAATGCGTGTATTCTTCCCCAATTAAGTTGGAAATTATCAATGACATTTAGCTCAGTGACCATTTTTGAGAGCTCATACAATTGGTCAATTGAACTGGTTTGAGCATTTTAGGCAGAACGTCAGCTTTCCAGCTGCACTGATGCTGCCTGGCCTGCTGTGTTCCTCCAGCTCCACACCTTGTACAACTGTATGTTGCTCTGTTGAAATGACACCCAAAGTACTGAGCCATATTGTTTGCCACATCTAAGGAAGATCATACTGGCCTTGAAGATGGTATAGAGATTGTTCATTCAACTGGTTTCTGGGATGAAAGGTTGAGTAAATTGGATCTACCCACTCTGGAGTTTCGAAGAATGAGAGGGGTGATCTAACTTAAACGTTTGAGATTCGGAGCCAGCTTAATAGAGAAGATACACAGATTGGTTTTATTTTTCAGAGATTGTAGAACAATGTCTCAGGACAAGGAGTTCACCATTTAGGAAAGCAATATTGAAAACCTCCTTCACTCGGCTGTTTGTCGATCTTAGAAAGTGCTTACCTCCAGATGGTTGTCGTTGAGCATAATTTAAGATGGAAGTCGACTATAAGCTGGGTTTGTAATGCATGGAGGAGCGAGCTTGAGCGGTCAAAAACTTGTAAACGTTGAAAGGTCTGCTCTTTAAGGCACCAGTGTCATCAGCATTGCTTCCCATGAAGTTGTGGGCACGAGGAACACTAAACAATGCAACACAAACCCTACAAGTGCTATCCTCCACAAACAGCAGTCCAGGTACCATATGCAGATCAGCTTGGGAAACGAAAGTACAACAGTGCCACGATATAAAAGGTATGTTGCAAGACAAAATATTTCCATTGTTTTGTTTATTTTAATTTCGCGTCTAAGTATATTTTAAGTGGGACCATCACACAACATTAAAAGTTCTTAAATTCATCCAATTAGCCTGCTTTAATCACAAAGTAGCGGTGTGGCCTGGCCTGGAGCAACACGAGGGGAGGTATTTTTAAACTCATCTACTACCATTATTTTAACTTAAAAAGAGAAATATTTATAAATACATCCCTCACCTTTTGTTCTTCGCGTTCAGTAGCATGATGACATTTTTCAATCTTCCACTCCCGAAGAAAATCCCTGAGATAACCAAACAATGTAAGGATTCCATAACCCATGTAGGTCAACACAGCAACGAGCATAGGCGTTTCCTCAAAAGACTGATTAAATGGCTTCTTGTACAGTCCTCCATTCTGTGCAACGTGAAGAATCTGGGACCAAAAAAGTCAGGGAACATGAATACACTACAATTTGGTAACATGCAACTTCCAATGGTAAAAGATGACAAAGAATACCAAGACTTCTGCTCATATCAAGTCAAGCGTAGGGGGTTGTGTCTGATCACACAAGTTATTCCAACTGTACTGGACTTTTTGTCTGTCAAAATTAGCAATTGATCTGGAAATTAAGTACAGTTCAACTACAAGATTCAAAAGTAAATTTGCTGAAATGTGTCACTTAAGTTCAATTAGAATTGAACGGACTTTATCTTGGCAAATTGTAGAGTTTTGTACACATCACCATATGCCAATATATGTTGACTTTTAGTGGTTTGGAGGCAGGGTGGCTGTGGTGGTAAAAAGAGGACAGGTAATAACCATCATGACTCACTGGGGTAACACACTGAAATCAAAACCACTTTTCCCAGAGATTAGAAGTTAAAAAAATGCACAAAATTCCAAAATTTAACTGATTTTCATATTCAGGTTGACAGAAAGCACAGACGAGGTTTCTGTATTTAAGAACTTTTGTTCATTACAAGCAATTAGACCCCAGCTACAGGCAACCAGCTATAAACCATTGGCACGTAACATGATACATTAAAACTCTCTCACCCTTATAACTGCACATTACACACAGAGGTACAGATTGCAAGGTTACATGGATAGAGGGGTAAAGCTGAAAAGTGTTTTGTTCGAGAGTTCTGTTGAGTTGGATCTTGCTAATCTTCAACTTTTTTCTGGACTTCCCTTTTCCAAATGCTTCTACTGATTTGTAAAAGAAAATCAGGTGACTAGGTCACTTGTAAAATGCTTCTGATTTATCAATTAAAAGGTCACAGCTTGCAGCAACTACTGGGGGAACGATTAACTTTGGTTATTCTGGTTTGAGGTGAGCTTTGGCGCAGAGAACTGAATCAACTTCTCTGTACACCGAGATACTAAGAATTGCAGATGCTGGAATCAGAGATAACAGTGTGGAGCTGGAGGAACACAGCAGGACAGACAGCAGAGGAGCAGGAAAGTTGACATTTCAGGTCGGGACACTGAAAGAGAGTCCTGGCCCCAAATGTCAACTTTCCTCCTCCTCTGATGCTGCCTGGCCTGCTGTGTTGCTCCAGCTCCACACTGTCATCTCTGTAGCCTGATCCCAGGCCCATCTGTTCAGTTACCTGACAGGCAAAAAGGTCTTTGTCATCAAAAAGCAGTCAATAGTCCATAGACCAATGAACTTCATAGGGCTACTCAGCTGCATCTCTACACAGAACCCCCTTGGCTCCAATTTATCTTCAACCACTTCAATTACTGCTTGTTCAAACAGCTGTACAAATATTTGCTGCCACAAGTTTCAGGTTACTAGCTTTTCAAAACATACAGCAATCCTTTGAAACATTGGTTTTTAAAGTTACAATTCTTAGTCCACATTTTTAGAAATCACAAGAATAAAAAAGAGACACAATCCTTCCATACTACAAGAGTGACATTTCAGCATCCAGCACTTTCACTAAGTCTTGATGAAGTCAGGCTATTAAATTGCGGTGAGCAAAAGCCAACTTTAACCATTTTTTAGAATGGCTTAAGTAAATTTACAAGTATCAGCAAACCTCACTGAATTCAAATCGAAATTAAAAGTTTACAATAAATGAAAAATTTATCCATTTGCCTGTGCAATTGCCTTAATACATACCATAGGGAAGGGGTTGCAGTTTTTCTTTTAAAAATCACACTGCTGGACCTAATTTCACCTAGATGAATTGTTAACCAGTCATTTTTTGATACAGACTCAATTACAGGACAAGTAAGAGATTTACTGCAAATGAGGACTAAACTAACATGACGAAAGAGATACAGAAGGGCAAGCCATTTAGCAGAGTTGCATAATAATAAGATCTCCTCCATAGCTTTTAAAATATTCAATCAAAATCAAATATGGAAAGAATGAACCAAGACACTCAAGTGCTTCAAATGAGAGAGATATCTTTTCCTAGGTATTCATTTTTGTGGAGTTCCTTCTTGACTCTACTGTTTGACATTTTTGTACTTTTAAGGGTCTACATTTCAAATGTTACCTTCTACTTTCCACAAATGCTAACTATTTTCAGCGTCCTATAACTACATTGAATATGTACTCAGGATAACCACAACCACCTCCGTTTGGCTTTTGTTTCATACAGAAATTATTTTAACCCAAATTCGCATTGGGGGAATTATGGGGTGGTTTAATAAAGTGTTTGCTTCACTTTCTGCCATCACAATTTGCTAATCATTCAGGGCAATGTTTCACAACAGTAACTTTTAATCCAAACATATATGGAATAAACTGGAACAAGGAAGAGAGCATTACCAAAAGTTTGGCAACATACTGTTAAACCACTTTCTAGTCAGGATAAGGTACAGTTGGCCTTCTCGCTACAGTTACAGATGTGAGACACTGCCACAAACATGAGTTTTTAAGTACAGCACTCAATCACCACAACATAAAATCAACTCAGCCCAATGGAACCACGGAATGCTGACAGAAGTCTAATCTATTCTGTTCAAAATTGAATGCTTGATTATCCACAGACAGACTCAAATGATGATTGAAATGGGTTGGTGGTACCCAGACCACAGAGTTAGCTTTACCATTTATAAGAGACACTGCATAACTCAGATTCTTACACCGAATCTCCCAACTAATACACCCAGAAGAACAAGGATAGTATATGGTCAAGAATGCCATTACCTGCAAGTTACCTTTCAGTTTACACACTACCCGGATTCAAAAATATACTGCCATTCTTTCACTATCAGTGGATCAAAATCCTAGAATTCTCTACTTCCAAAACCCTATGGGAATACCTACACCTTATGTGCAGTGATCCAAGATAGTGATTCCTTGTCAACAGCAATTAGGAATGAGCACAAATGGTCTTGACAGCAAAGCCCACATTTCCCAAACAAATAAAAATTCACTAAGATTTATTTTCATTCAGACCAATTTTTCAGAAATGAGGTGGTTGCAGGAATGATTTAATATATTTTATGTTTTGAAAGGCTGAAATGGCCTTGGCTCATTACTGGCCATGTTTTTAAGACATTAGTAGACCAGAATGCTCTGCTGTACCTCAGCAGCAAATTACATTCTGATAATGCTGTTCACCCACTTACAATCTCACAATGGTTTAGCCTAACAAATGCAATGCTACACCACTGGAGGTGGTTATAAAGACCGCATCTTTTCATTTTTTTTTGATCCCCAGTCCAAAACAGAGAGACAAAGTAAAGCTTTTAACCAAAGAGGCTATGCAAAGAGATCCTGGGGAAGTCATGGTGCAGTGGACCAGCAATCCAGAACCCAAGGCCAATAGTCTAGGACATGGATTTGAACGTTTCACCACAGTAGATGGCAAAACTTTAATTCAAAACCTAGAACTAAAAGCTAGCCTAACGCCAATCTCATAACTATTGCCAATTGTCGTAAAGACTGATGACCTTTATAGAAGGAAATCTGCCATCCTTAGAAGTTTGACCTGCATATGACACCAGATCTACAGCAATGGGGCTAACTTTAAATTGCTCTCTGGACAATTAGGAATGGGCAATAAATGCTGGCCTATGCAGTTATGTTCACATCCTATGAACGAAGGAAGAAAACCACTGGCTTCGATTTTAAGAATCATGCTTATTGGAGCACTTATGTACAATGTTGCTGTCACCTGGAAGAGAGCGAAAAGCAGATGGATTCTGAACTGAGAATGACTACTAGATAACATTATGATTGGCTCCTGAGCAGGTGACCCCTGGCCTGGTTGGGAACATTGTAGCAGAGAACCACCTAGTCTTCAAAAAAAGTATAAGTTCTGTGGGGATATTGAAAGTCTCCAGGATGAGCTAGCAAGCTTCTACTCACCATGCCCTGCAAATTCCCTAATGAAGGAGGAATAAAACACCTGTAAAGAGTGAAATGACTTACTCTCTGAACGAAAGAGAAGCACGCAAATAACTTGTGTCAACAGCAAAGAACTAGAATGGAATTTAAAGGATGAACGAGAAAGTAACTCAAGTCCTGTGACCCAGACAGGTGCTACCTTATGAGAGGACTGGATTTGGGGGCGGGGGAAGGAGCAAGAGCGAGAGCCGGACGGACGGAGGGAGGGGGAGAGAGGGAGAGGGGGGCAGGAGAGAAAGAGAGAGGGAGAAAGCATGCACGAGAGAGGGAAGGGGAAATAAAGTTATCAAGCTATATTCTAGGTAAATACAGAAACCTGTGAGTGTCGTTTTTTAACACAAGTCGTCAGTCAGATAAATTGAGGATTTTGTATTGTTTGACAAAAACTTTTTATTATCTCTGGGAATAATGGGGTTTGATGTCCAGCACATTACCCTAGTGAGCGAGACAGGGTCAGCATGTTTTTTTTGCTTTTCTGCACACAAATTATGATGCCAATTAGATTTCAACAGCACCACTTTGTTGTGAAGTGCTTTGGAATGAGTGCTATTTTCCTTTGATAACCTCTGAACTACATGTATACAGGAAGGGAAAAAGGACTGAACAAGCTGGATGACAAGGTAGAAACTTCACAAAACCTCACCGATTTGAAACTGTCAGCAGGTTTGGCTACAAAGTCTGTGAATGGAAATTCATGGCTCTTTTTCCACAAATGTCAGCAACAAAATTGAACTTTAATTCTGAAGCTTTGTACTAGTGGATGTGGAGAATATTTACCATCCCACAATAACAACACAAAGTTGTCTTAAATCAGATCACCATATTTATAGGGGAAAATACAAGACCCGGACAACATTCTGGATTTAAAAAACAAGTTTATGCAATACTAAAATGCCACACCCTGCTTTTCTGCTTATGGGAAAATTCTTAATATTATTGCCTGGAATTTAACACTTCAAGTGCAATCCATTAAACATAGGTTTTAACTACAATTTTGGAGGACATGCTTAAATGAGGCAACAGAACGGCATGCAGTGTGATCACAGATGATGATCATGAT